GGCGCGTGGCCTCCTGTTATTGCATGTAGGTAAACGTATATATCGTATCAATTCATTATAGCACATGAGCAAACTAATATAATAAGCTCTGATACATTTCAACTGATCCGGTAATATCGGTTAATCGTAACCTTTGGTTTTTACATGTGATACTTTGGCTCTTGACATATGTCGCATTTTTGTAACAGAAGAAGGAAGAAAGCATTAAGTCATATAAATGATTATATGGTTCACGGAAAAAATAAATACTCAATTGGGGGATGGGTATTTCAATTCGAAGATGATTCTTCTGTATCAGGCCGGGTTGTAGCAAGCCCTCTCAAGTGTAATATAAGGGTCAGGCACCAAGTGTCAGAATATAAGGGTCAAAAAGTGGAGGTTAAAAAATGAGGGTCAGAATATTAGGGTCAAAACAGTAGGGTCAGAATATAAACGTAAAAAAAGTGGGTGTCAGGCAATTTTTTTAACCCTAACATTCTGACCCTCATTCCTTCACCTTTACATTCAGGCCCTCAGTTTTTGACTCTAATATTCCGACCCTCATTTTTTAACCTCCACTTTTTGACCCTTATATTCTCACACTTAGTGTCTGACCCTTATATTACACATTACTGATGCGAAATAATCATCCTCGAATTGAAACACCCATCCCCCATTCGAGTATACAATATATTTGAATCAAGTATATTTATTCTTGAATAAGGATTATGCATATATAATACTTGATTCTGGTATAAAATATACTCAATTCAAGTTTTTTTCCGTGTTCTTATTTGGGAGGATCATGTAATTGAAGATAAACGAGCGTTATTTGATCCAAAATTGTTGAAAAAACCGCCCGTTTCGCCCCGATAATCTTTGAAATGAAGAAGAAGCAATTTGTTTATGGAATCATTTTTAGTGACATTCTTTTTTTAGAAATTGCAAGAAATTTTCCTAGTTTTTGAAAAACATAAAGCAAATTTAAAGCCTGCTTCCATTAACGTAATCTAGATTGCTTTTTTTGTTCGATTTTTATCTCGAAATTTCAACTCGATGCCCCGTCCCTCAGAGACCTCCGAAAATTATGAATTTGGATTGAAAAAAAAGTAAAAATAATGTAAACATTTTGAAAAAACGTTTTTAATTAATATTGAGGGATGAGTTCAATAGAAGAGATATGAATAATGTATAATTACCATGGCAAATGGCGGCCTATCAGTCGCCATCAGAGAAGGGAGGAAAGACGAAATAGTAAATTCTTTGGCACAGCGCAACCACACGATTGTACAAAAAGAATCTCTTTGAAAAATTTTGTGATATTTTTAAGAATTTCGTTATCACACTTTTATGATGAACTAATAATCACTTACACCAATCTCCTCAACTGAAAATTGTACAGTCCATCAACTGTCACTTATGTCAGGGGCACAAAAAAACAAGAAAACATAATTTTTCTGTTTTCAATTCTCAAAGAATTTTTATAATTCTGAAATGTTATGATTTTATCAACATCCATTCTATTAATCCTTATCACAACCATAGAACAATTTAAAAAAACATAATAAAAAATACAAAAGATGTGCATGAAAATAATGTAATAAAATAATAAAAAATATATATGAGAATTATTCTGGGAAAAAAATTCAATGCAAATAACTGGAAAGGTATCATAATTTACATTATTTTTTACATCCTATTGAACCATGCACGGGATATTTCATGCTCCATATACCGTTATTTGCTCATCCACCTTTTCATTATATTATTTCAGTCAATAGAAAAAGCAAACACACCAACTTCGCAATAGAGAAGCGTCAAAAGCCCAGGAGTCAACCAAAAAAAAAAGAAGAGGGGTGCTGGTTAATGCCCGAGTTTACGCTGCTGTAAGCAACCTATGGAGTCACATCAGAGTTCCAACTAATACGTGACCCTCACAATGGTCTTGGCAATACAGCTGCCGTATATGCGATGGCACTGGGGTACGCGACAGCCACACGTTCTGTCTATACCTAAAACATGTTGCCTTTCCATTCAGACGCACTTCTCTCGCCTGACACTATAAATCGTAGTACGACCCATTTGTCTATCTTTTCACTTTTTTTGGGCTCTGAAAGCATAATTATATTAACGAGTCATTCAACCTATTGTGGGGACGCACGTGGAGTTTAGAGTCCTTAGAGATGATTTGTGTTGAATTATATTTAGTGGTAGCGTTCGCAGGCATCTTTTCATAGGTTTTTTTTTTGTTGAGAAAGTGTTGAGGCGGATACAAATTAATAATTGCTCTAGAGTTAGGAGAATGTAAATATAATTTTGGAAATTTTGAATCATAAATTTATTGAAATTAATTACAGAAAAATCAAATGAAAACACAGGGAAATTTGAGAGGAAAAATTTCTATAGAAAATGTCTCAAGAGAATATTGAGACATTTGTTGAGAATTGAGAAATTGTATTGAAAAATGAAAGTTAATTTTTTCAATAAAACATTTTTTCCAGTGAACATTCGTATGGAAAAAATGCGCAGAAAGGCTTCTATTTTAATAGAATCGGAGAACAACTAATAGAATATTTTGAGAGAAGTTCAATAGAATTTTCTAGCGAATTCTTTCATTGTTTTTTTTATACTTTTGATAGTTTCTTTTTTTCGTTGAGAAGGTGCTGAGGAGGATACATATTAATAATTGCTTTATAGTTGCGAAAATCTAAATTCAGATTTTGACATTTTCAATCATCAACTAAAATTACTTTTCGGAAAATTAAGCGAAAAAACTTGGGAAATTTGAGCCGAGAAATTTCTAAGGAAAATATCTCAAGAGAATAAATTTAATTTAATTCTTTAGAGAATATTAAAGAAAGGCCTCACTTTAATGAAATCGTCAAAAAATTAACGAAATATTTAAGATAAGTTCTATACAATTTGCTAGCGAATTCTCTAGATTTCCCTAAGAAATTTTTTCATGCGTGTTATATAACAGAAGTCAGGAGAAAATATTGCATTGGCAAATGGTTATGGTAATTTTGATGTAAAATAATATCAAACAAGTTGATATTAAAATTAGTAAACGTGAGATGGGTTTCCTCAACGGTCTCATAAAAAATTGGGGCTCACATAGTGCATAATAAATTACGGAGCGAAACGGGTAGTAATAATGTGGCAAACGGCGTTAAATATGGTCGGTTGTGACAGAGTTAATAGGGTAGGTGGGACCTTGTTACTGGGTTTTATAAAGGCACCTTGGAGGACCCCATTATATCTTCGCTACAATAAGCCCTTCGATTTCACTCATGATGATTAATTGTTCGTCCTTAATATTTGAAAATTCAATCCCTGTGTGCTCTACATAATAATAGTATTCATATTATTCAGATCTTAATCCATAATCTTTAACTATCAACTATTATTATTATTATTCTTCAATTATTTATTGATTGAATAAGAACAAAAATCATGTTTTTGAATTAATTGGAAAAAATGGAAAGTGTTTACACGAAACATTCTCCATTTTTATTGGAATTCTGGAAGAATTCAATGGGAGTTTTTGTGAAATTCTATTAAAACATTCTATTTTTTGCGTCAATTCTATTAACAATTATTTAACTTTCAAATGCGTCTTTCAATAGGCATTTGTTCATTAAAAAAAGTACATAGATGTTAATTTTACCATTTAACTAATTCTATTAGAAATTTCTCTAAGAATTGTTCATCAAAAATTTTTTAAGTTCTTTTTTTTCGTGGATTTTATTATGAGAAAAATATGAAAACACAACGGAAAACAAACTTGAAGAATTTATACCTAAGAATTTCTATAGAATAATAAAAATCTATTGATTTTTTTCTATCAAATATCTGACGAAATAACAAGCTTCAGTTGCATAATATTTAATAGAACCGGCATAAAATAAATATAATTTTTAATAGAATAGAATTTCAATATAATTCTTATAGATTTCCAATCAAATTTCACGAGAAATCGTTAACGAAAAGTCTAGATTTTTCGATTAAATTGTTCCATACGTGAAATTAATAAATCAAACTCAATGATTAGATGGAGAGTGTTCTAGCTCGAGTGCTCTTGAACAAGGATTTTCCAAGTTTTTCTTTCTTGTATTCAAATATGGACACAAACAAAAATAAAACCGAAAAAACCTTTAAAAATACCCAAGAATTTCGATATATAAAAATCAAAACCCATTGACTTTTTCCTATCAAAATATCTCTCAACAAAATGACAGGATAAAATTGCATAGTATTCAACAGAATTGACTTAAAAACAAATGGAATTCCAATGGAACTCCAATAGATTTCCCAAAGAAAGCGCTCGGTCTGTCCATTAAATCTTTCCATACCCAAAGTCTAAAAAATCGAACCCAATGATTATTCAAAAGGCTGTTCGATCCCCCCATGAATTTAATTCCGGTAATTATGTATTCTCGTAATAACAAGAAGTACATAGCTTTCACAACTGGCAAGGTAATAAACTCCCGCGCAGTTATATTCTCGTCCCCGTGGCTTTAAAAGCACAACCACTTCTCCCCTTTTATCATCCACGAAAACCGGCTTTCTAACTGGCGTAAACGTCCTCACCGGCCTTTTGAAATTCATCGGTTATATTGGGGTACATCACGTGCAGTCTAACATGGCAATAATTATTTGATGAGATAATTTAAAGCCAATAAAGAGTCTGCTCGCACGTGATTTATCACTCGTCCCCGGAATTTATTACATCGATTTCTCCTCATTCTCGTGAGGATCGTCGCACATTGCGAAGGTGAATATTCAAAATATTCCCCAAAATGAGAGTTTAAAATTCGAATTTCGGTACTGCGGGACATATTTCGGACTCTTCCCCCATCTGTCAATCGTCCTACGAATTTTTGAATCATTTTTTCATGTTCATGGTAACAGAAATCGTCGGTAACATTGATTTTTTTTGTATTATCGACTGCTGATGCTGTTCCATTCTCCGACATTTGGAGGGAAATTCGCGTTCGCAATTTGCCCCACGTGATCTCTAACCTCTAGTCCCTTTATGCGATACGCGTCTGGTGTAGCTGTCAATAGACCGGTTTTGTCTTGTATTTCGGTTATTTAAATTTGATGTGACTGTTGGGAGATTTTAGCTGATCCACGGAAATGGGGGAACAATCAGGGAAGGGGAGAAGCAACAATAACAGGTTCAAAATTCTCGTGGCCACTGACTGCCATTTGGGTTATGAAACTAAATCCAAGAGAGGTAGCATTTTCATTCTTGATGGAATATTTAGTTATTGTTATGTTTGGGGGAAATTTATGGGAGAATTGAGTGGGCTAAATTCGAAGATTTTTGGTATTGCAAATGTTTTTTGTTCCAAGCCATGTGCACATTGTTAGGACTGGAGAACAATTCAGAGAATGTCTTCGAAGTAGAAGGGGCGGGTGGGGTAAAACGGACACTTTAGACTTTTTTAAATTATTCATAACTCAGAAACAAATTGATCAATTGAGCTCAGTTTAGGCTCGTCACAAAGGAAAAGAATTGTTCTTTGTATTGAAAAAAAATTATTAAATTTTATCAACATTTCAACCCCTCATTAACATTTTAAAAAAAGTCAAAAGTGTCCGTTTTACCCCGACCTCCCCTGTAAACATAACTTGAATTTTGAAGATTAAAGTTCGAAATAAATTCTAAACGATAGTTACGGATATTCTGGTTGAGTTTGGCTTCAATCAGATGTCTTGTATTATTGATAATAATTAATCCAGAAGTGCAAAAATAACAGTTTTAAGTGAAAATTAACTTCTCGAAGTTACGAAAAAGACTAAAATATAGAAAAAATTTAGAAAATCCTAGAAAATAAATGAAAATTCTATGCTCAATATGAAAATTATTGTCAATGCCAAACTTTTGTAATTAATAATTTGTTTTTACATGCCCGAGGTGGCGAGAAGAGTTTCGAAATACCGTAATCAAACGAGAGGCTATTGTTTAGAAAAATAATTGAAGAAAGAATCAAAAGTTCTGTTGTTTCTGTAAATTAGTCACAGGATAGATGGAAAAATTAATAATGCAAAATTCCAAGATATTTTTTTCATTTCACCATGCAGGAGAATGATTCAGGCAGATAATTTCTTCGATTCTCAGTACCTTTTGATGAAGAAGTGAGATTTGAATGAGTCCGATCTCATTTTAAAGTTTGAAAAAACACCTTGAAAATGAAATGAAAATGGAATAATTCACTCTGCTATTCTGGAGTTATGAGCCACTCCTTCCCAATTGAGACCACAAATTCTGTTGTTTCCGTAGCACAAGATTCAGACAGTATTATCACATTCGAGGAGATCTTGAAAACAGCTAAGGATAAGGATGTCGATTTTGTACTTCTGGCTGGAGATTTATTTCACGATGCTAAGCCCTCGCAACGTATCGTCCTCGAGAGTTTAAATCTGTTGAGGAAGTACTGCACAGGAAAGAGGTATCAACATGTATATATGAATATATGGGAATATGAATATGCATAATGTACATGTATATTCATATACATGAACGATGGACAATAGTTCTAGTTTTGCAAACCTTACCTTTTCCCATGAAATCGAGTTTGTGTAAAATTCTAAATGCGAAAAAAAGTATACAATTTGTAAAATGATTTATCATTTTTGAAATAATTTTTAGAACGATACCATTCGAGTTGCTCAGTAATCCGGAAGATATCTTCCCCAATAAAATTGTGAATTATGAGGACGAGAATTTGAACATCAGCATTCCCGTATTTTCTATTCATGGAAATCATGATAATCCAAGTGAGTTGACAACTACTTTTAGAAATCCCAAATCGTAGTATTATTTTTAATTAATTTTAATTGAAGTGGAGTAGTAATACGTAATTCGTCACATTTGAACATTTAATTAATGTGCATTAATCCCGAAAAATGGAGTCATCTTAGAGAAAATATCAAAAGAGTCTTTTAAAGCCGAGAATATTTGAACAAAAAATATCTTTCGATATTTTTATCTGGAAATGACTAGTTGTCGCCACGATTGCAAATTTAATACGAAAAAATCACGAATGTTTTCATCCCCAATTCAAAGGTTTCGAGTCGACGGGGACCCTGGATCTACTGATGGCATCGGGACTTGTGAACTACTTCGGAAAGTGGAGTAATTTACAAGAAATCAAAGTAATTCCAATGATATTTCAGAAAGGGGAAACTCTAATAGCTATTTATGGTCTCGGTAACCTCACGGAGCAGAGACTGTCCAGACTCCTTCGTGAAGGAAAGGTAACAACAAAAATTATTTAAAAAAATGAATATTCGATTCATTAAAAATTCGCTGTTAATAAATACAAGAAAATTTTGGTTTTTGAAGATTCAAATATCACACTCTTGATCAATACGAAATTATTAACATAAATTCCATCGTAAATTTTCAAGAGAGTATTTTTGATAGCGTAAAAAAAATAGAATTCTAACGGGAAGTCTCTAGAATTTTAATAGAATCTCAATAGAATTTGTAAAGCATTCCAATAGGATTTTCTAAATTCCCTAATTTTTTCTATTGAATTTTTTCATACGTGAATTCATGATAAAAAATTCGGTAATCCCCTCACAGGTGCATTTCCTCCGACCCTCAAACATCGGCAACTGCTTCAACATCCTAGTCCTCCACCAGAACCGTGCAAAACACGCAGAGAACGAGTACATCGAGGAGAATCGTTTTCCCTCCTGGTTCGACCTGATAATCTGGGGCCACGAGCACGAGTGCAGAATATCCCCCGAAGAAATACAGTGCCGAGAAGGGGGTAGTTACGACATCTGCCAGCCAGGGAGTTCTGTAGCCACATCCCTCAGCGAGGGTGAGTCCGTGCCCAAGCACATTGGCCTCCTCTTCATCGAGAACGATACCTATAGAATAAACGCAATCAAGCTAAAGACAGTGAGGCCCTTCGTCTTCAGGGACATCTTCCTCTCTGAGATAATCGAGAAAGGGTACTGTGACTTCTCAAATGAAGGGATCATCGAGTACATCGACGACTACATACAGAACACAGCCATCCCTGCAGGTAAGTCATTGAAACAATTATTATTTAGCATTGAAACGATTATTTGGAGCTAGGATTGAATTAAATGAGTCGTGATATCCAGAGACATCTCCGTAATTCTAATTTTCAAAGAAAAAGAAATTTTTGGAAATTATTCTATGAATCAAATTGGAATTGGAGAGGAAATTGTAAGTGGATAATTTATCATGGCAACTAACGATCTGACAGGCGTTGGCTACTGAGACAAATGACGACTGAATAGCCATTAGATACTGTAAATTATCAATTTGTAATTTCCTCTCTATTGCGTTCATTTCCCAATATTATTCAAAAACGCTCTTTGAAACTGTTCAGTGTTTTTTCAACGTATTTTCGATTGTACAATCATAATGTAAAGCTGAATGGCAATGGAAGAACATTTCAAATTATCAAAATTAAAAAAAAAACAAGATCACGTTCGAAAGATCATAAACGTTCCATTCTGCCCCAGTCTCTCCTGCACAGATAACAAAATCAGGGATCGGCTAAAATCGCTACTTCACTCATATTAAAATACGTTCGTCATAAATTAGTTAAAGTTCACTAATTTTTAGTAAAATTTGAAAATAATTTTCAATTCTCAATTATTATTGAACAATTAATTCTAAACATCTAAATTTGATGTTTTGATTAATCGAATAATCGCCATTCTTGCGAAGTTAAATACTTATTTACAAAATACTTGAAAAATAAAAAAAATTGATTGATAATAAATTTGATGAAAATTAACAAATGTAATGAAATAATTTGAATTTTGAATTATGATGTTGCCCATCTCTGAACAAAATCAGGCATGAATTTGATCTTTCCCATAATATATTTCACTTGAGCTGAGACCCAAAATCAACCGTACCGCTCGTGCATTTCGTATGCCCGCAGGCAAGAAGATGTTGTCAGGGCACGAGGACCAGCCGAAAATACCTCTAATTCGCCTGCGGATTTTTTACACTCAGGACAATCAGATTGTCGACGTTTCCCAGCTCTCCCACAAGTACAGTGACCTCGTCTCCAACTGCAACGACATGATAATTTGCAAGAGGCATCGAAAGGGTCAGCCGAAAAAAACGAAGAATGACCACTTCGATGACCTCACAGAGGACATTGCAGAGTGCTTCAAGCACAATTCAGATGATCCTCAGGAGTGGACGAGGACTGTGCAGAGTGGGATCAACAAGTACTTCGAGAAGCACGAGTCCAAGCTCAAGGTGATATCCTTAGCTGGGATCAACGAGGCTGTCGATCGATTTGTCAGCGCTGGGGACGAAGACGCCTTTGCGCAGGTAATGGAGCATCAGATCAGGAAGAGCATCGATTATCTGATGGCTAAGGACTTTGAGGTGAATGAAGAAACTGTTATTGAGGAGCTGCAGAAGTATCGACAGGAGAGACGAGCGGCAGCTGGGGAGGACGAGGAGCTGAGGGAGGTCCAGGAGATGCTTAATGATCCTGTCCAGAGGAATCTGTTGAAGGCGAAGGCGCCCAAGGCGGTGGACGCCAGTCCTGATGGCGGTGAAGGCACTGGAACTGGGAGGGGACGGGGAAGGGGACGAGGACGAGGTCGGGGGACTGCTTCTGAGACCACTAGGACTACTGCTGCTCGAGGGACGAGGAGCAGGGGGAGGGGCAGGGGAAAGGCTGCACTGGATGTCAGCATTGTTCGTGATCCCAGTCCTGGCAGGAGAGCTGATGATTCGGATGACGATGTGAGTTTTTGAGAATCAAAATCGTATTGACCAAGTCTTTTGAGACTTGAGAGAATAAAAATCGTATTGATCAAGACTTTTAGGTCAACAAAGTGAAAAAAGGTCGCATGAACCTACTCTAGGGAACGTGAAGTCTGGACGATTTGGGCTCTTCAGAATCATTTTAACCCAACTTCAGGCGCATATCAAATTCACACGGCTTCTTCTTTGGAGCAATCAATTCACAACTTCTTCGTCGAGGGTTTTTAATTTTTAATTTTTCAGTTTTCATTTTTTTTTATATCTGAGCATATATTACTCGTATATTTTTCTTTTAATTTTTTAGGGCCCGTTGCGCCAACCCCTGTTAAGCAAATAAACTCGAGCGTAAACTTCATCCTCGGGGTTAATTATATATTATTTAACGCAAGCAAAATTTTTTTATTTATCCAGCAGCCTCATTTGAGACAACTCTGGAATGTATTCATATATTTTATGTCTGGGATAAATTTTTAGTATTCTCCCTGGTAAAAATATCCACGGAACATCGAGATTTAGATTTTTTCTAAACTGACGATTTAGTTAACTGGAGCTGGTGCAAACGGCCCTAAGAGCCAACTCTAGAATAATGTTTATTTCTTTTGAAGTACAACTGAATATCGTAAAAATTGGGAGAAAACGGCGAAAAGATTTTTTCATTTTTCCACTATTGGAGACACATTTGTGGAAAAGTTTGCGCTAAAAATTTGTTCTCAAAAATTGGGTTAAAATCATTCTAAAGAGCCCAAATCGCCCAGATTTCGCGTTCCCTAGAGTAGGTTCATATGACGCTTTTCCACTTCGTTGACCTAAAAGTCACAAAATGGGTAATACTTTTTTTTTGTTTTTGTATTTTTTTCTGGGGATGGAACAAATATATCTTGCGACTGATGGGTGACGATTTGATTTCAGACAACAGCATTCAAGCGTTTTGCCACCCCTTTGAGTCAACGAGCCAATTCCACTACTCAAGTGTCAAAAAGCCAGAAGTCAGTGTATTACGCTAGCTCTGATTCTGAGTAAACATCGTCCGCCTCATTCCATTCGTATTATTATTTTCGTTTAAAGTTCCGAATATTATCGATAATTGTCTTGTCACGTTGAAACAGTTAAGAAAAATTACAAGAGATGAACGTCGAATTTGTAATATTCTGCCACAGTATTTTTTATAATAAAAATCTAAGAGTTTGAATGCAAATAGTGAGATATTTTTCATCACTCGAGCATGTTGGGTATTCCCCACGGAGAATAATCGGCAAAATAGGGCTACAATTTCGAAAATATTTTTCAACGTGAAGGAAGTAGAAGACAAAATGAGTGCATTTAATTTGATCGATTTACTTCCTCATTTTTTTCCATTGTTTTTGCATTTCCTAAAAATTCCTGTCTCCCATAATCCAACGCGGGTTCCCTAGCCATAGTAATATTCGTCAAAGTCTGTTGAAGAGTAAAAACAGTCCTGCACATCCTCTGAATTCCCCCCTAATGATTCCCAGAATAGGATTCCCAATCAGAAAGGATGAAATCAACAACATATTAAACAACACAACAAGTCCATTTATTCCGATTCATCGACAGTCTCCACCATTTTATTCTGTATTCAACAAGTCCAGAGGTAAGCCCTCAAAACTGAATTTCAATAATTCATTCGAAATATATTACAAGTCTCCCTGCACGTCCCCTCTCCATAAAAAGAAAAACAACTCTACACAGTAACTCCAACCTCCCCAAGTATCTCCGAGAGCTTCTCCAAATGTTTGCTCACCGACGTATACCCCTCCCGGCTCCTCGAAATCAGCTGAAACGCATTGATATACTCCAGCTCCGAGAACTGCGGCCCATTCTCCAGCACATTATTAAGAATATCCTCCGGGGTCTCATAAAACAGCTCAAAATACTGTCTCGCATAATCCAGCGCGAGTTCCCTAGCCATCGTAATATTCGTCAAAGTCTGCTGCAGAGTAAAAACATTCCTGCACATCCTCTGAATGCCCCCCTTATCAATCCTCTCGATATACTGCGCCGAGGTGATCAAGATCTTCGCAATGAGATGGCCGAGGCCCTCAAAAATATATTTGCTCTTCTTCTGCTGGAGAGTCGACTGCAGAGCCTCATCGATATTCTGCAGAACCCTGCTGAGCTCCTCGACCCTAGGGTCGGCCTCCTGGGGGTCCTTAACGCCGCCACAGAGATGACTGTACTCCCCCCTGGGCAACAAATAATAAAAGCACTGGACCCTCACCTCCAGATGCAGCACCAGCGTGCAGGTATTCGCCAGTTCCTCAAACTCCCCAGCGACCTGTTCCAAGGACTCGACCAGAGAATCTGAAACCCTGGGCAACCCCACCTGCTCCCCACTGCCCTTGGCCTGACTCAACTCAGCGACCAACGACCTGATGGACAACGAGAACCACTCGACACTCTCCTGAATGAGGGCCAGGCACTTCAGCTGCCCAACATCCGAGAGAATCTCGTGGGAGTTGATCCCCCCCTCCCCCAGAGTGCTCGCCAGTATCTCGGCCTCCCTGAGATTCCTCTGCCTGACCTCCTCAGGGCTCTCCTCCTCCTGCGTCTCCTGCCTCCTCATCGCCCACCGCCCCCTCCCCTTCCTCCCGACGTCGCTCTTCATGTTATCCCAATTGGGCAGCGACTTGATGAACCTGCTGATGTCGTCGTCCTTGAGCCAAGCAGCCGAGCAAATCCTCTTGTCCTCGCTGTCAGGCTGGATGATCCCCCTGTACGCCCCCTGACACGTCTCCCTGTAGTTGTGCAGGACGTTCAGAGCTAGAGTGCAGAAGTGCTCGGCCTGAAGTGGCAGCGAGATCATGAGGGACCTCAGCTCAGAGACGCATCGTTCGACCTCCACAGTGCTCTGTAAAAGGGGCCTGGTGAGTCCCAGCTCTTTCATGAGCTCCGGTGGCGTCGTGGCGCTCCAGGCGTCGGACCCCTTGGTCGCAGCGTCGATAGTGGTCGCCACCATCACGTGGTGACGCCCGAGGAAGACCTCTTTCACGTAATCGGCGATGAAGCTGTTGAGAGTGCAGGGGTTCGGCTTGCAGTCCAAAGCCCTCTCGATCTCCTCGATGAACTGCATCATTGGCCGGAAGATTATCGTGATGTTCTTGGGGTCGGGCTCGCAGACCAGCCGGCGCTGGCTCGAGAGATTGCTCTCTCTGGCCAGATTACTGTATCTCTGATCTTTCAGGTAGTTGTTGAGGGTCTTCGGGTGCGACGACGACTCGAACTTGAAGAGGGATCCCCGGAGGGGCTTCTGGGGCTTCTTCTTGGAGAAGTACGTGTTTATGTCCACTGTTCCTTCGGTCAGCGCTGACGACTGGAAGGGACCCTCCAACATGTTCTGAATGTCGAGGAAGTCGGTTAGAAGGAGCTGCAGAACTGCCTGGATCTTACTCCAGACGTCTGGCATCTCGTACAGACGAACGTCGAGGTTGTGCTTCTTGCAGACGTGGGAGAAGCTGCGGAGGGCTGTCCCGTGGGCAGAGGCTACCGAGCGAAACTGCTCGAAGACTGTCTGCAAGAGCTCCACCAGTGGGTTGTCAGTATTCGTTGGTTCGATTACTCCATTAGGCTCTGCTCCTGTCTTTGGAGGGGTCTTGGGTGAGCTCTTTTTTATCTGCTCCGAGGTTCGTGAGATGATGTTCAGGAGCTCTGACTGCATCTGGACTTTTATGGCTTCCACGGTCTCGGGGATGTTGTTGAGTAATGCTAGACATTGGATTATTATCGCTATGAAGTGCTCGGAGTTGTCTTCGGGGTTGGAGTTCTCGTCCTCGGTGATGTTGGTCAGGTCTTCCAGGTTCAGGTTTGAGCGGGAGGAGGGGGAGTAGTTCACCTCCAGGAGGGAGCGTTTTACTTTATTTCCTCTGGAGCCTCTGCTCTCGTTTCCTCGCTGGAAGTCTCGACCTGAGCCCTGACGTCTCAGCAGGACCTCCCGCGTTGTCTCGAGGTACAGGTGTCGGGAGAGCTCCTCCAGGAGCTTCTGCTGCAGCTGCTGCTTCTTCGTTTCGAGCTCGAGGCGGACCTCTCGGAGGGCTTCCACTCCCTCCAGGCTGCCGTCACCCATCGACAGCGCTGACACCAGGAGTTGCGTTGCGTGGAGGTAGAGCTTCTTGTTCAGGTAGTGGGTGAGGCGCGAGGGGACCTCTCGGAGCTGGTCTATCTCGTTGAGCAGCTGCAGGACGTGCTTGTGCTCCACTCCTTCCAGCCACAGCTTCATCAGCTCCTCTCGACGGCAGCGGAGGAGCTGCTTGCAGGCGTTTAGGTTTTCCTTCACTGCGTGGATCTTCTCGCGGGACGTCGTCACTCGTTCCGAGAGGTTGCCGAAGATTTTCATTACCTCGGTGAGGTCCTGGTCGTGGAGCGAGACCAACTCGTCGAGGCGCTGATCGCTGCGCTTGTACTCTTTCTCGAGCTTCGCTTTTTCTACTTCTCGTTGCTCGTTCGTTTCCGAGGCGGAGAGCGCACGGATTACTGAGATGAGGAGGCCACTCTGCAACGAGCGTTCGTTTTCAGATTTTTGGGGGGGAGGGACAACGGAACACGCGGAAAATTTTTTAATAAAGAAAATAGAAAAAATGGGTCCAGTAGAAAGGACACTAGTTACATTGTCGCAAAAAAAATGTCTCAAATCGCGTCTGGGTTACTCTATGCGAATGTGTTCATTAATGGTATAAATATTGAAGAGTACAAAAAAATTTTGATGTAACAGGATTAATTTTCATATTTTTAGGGGGGAGGTACAACGGAACAGACGGAAAAAATTTCATTAAAAGAAAAATAGAAAAAATAGTTCCAGTAGAAAGTGCACGAGTTACATTAGTGCGAAAAAAAATTCTTAAACCACATTTGGGTTGCTGTATGTGAATTTGGACGTCTTTCAAATCAACTCATATTATAATATGCATGTTTATGTGAAGTGGGTCTTCCCATGCGACACCTCCCTCTTTGAGGTGAAATTTAATTTTATTAGATGTGGTAATTATTTTTAGAGGATGGTTTAGTGAAAAGGGCTATTGTTCTTGAATAAAAAATCAACTTGATTTTGTATTTTTTAACAAAATTTGGGCCATGTTTCGGCCAGCTGCAGTCATCAGTGAAGGATATTCAAAAATGAATAAAACACTAATTTCGAAACAATTGCACGACGTTTCGAGCGCACAAAGCGCTCTTCAGGAGCTTTCTTTGATATCTGCAATTCAATTGGGGGAATTTTTTAATTTCCTTGAAAACTGGAAATAGTCAGGCTTTCAAAGAAAATTCGAGACTTAGCAGTTTTAAAATGAAAAATCAAAATTTCGTAACTTTCAAACAATCTCGAGAAAATTGACAAATGTTGAAAACATTTGAAAACTGTTAGAAAAAAAGGAAATAAGAGATCATTTTGTGAATTGTCATCTTCATGATTTGAGAAAAAATCATTTTTTGAATGGAAAAAAATGCGATTTTTCTGATATTTTGAATGAAAAAACAATGAACATTGAGCAACAATCAAAGGCAAAATGTAACCTCACTGGATCGCTGAATCAATTTCTCTCCATTATCGATTATTTCAAAGGTACTTACGGTTTCTTTTGTCGGTTTTATCCCACGCGGTGGTTTTATTGGCGGTGCAATTGACATTGTTGTTCCCTGATTTCGATACTATTGCACAGAATTTACTGAGTAAACTCTCAAATGACAGTGGGAGGTGAACAGTATAACAAACAGTTATGCGCTGACGCCCGTTTCGGAGCAGGGCGCCACCTGATCAGCTGATGAGGGGAGGAACGAGGTGGTTCGAGTTGTCAGTTGGGTTTTTCGGTTTTTTAACCGTGATTCAAGATGAATATAAACAATATAACAATTTCTGCTGTGCGGAATCGAACTAGCATCCTCGATAAATCATTGAGTAAAGGAAAGGGGGAAGTCAGTCTCAGTTGTTATGCTCTGTTGTTTTCTGAACTGGTGCAGTACTGTCAAAATCGAGTTTACACTGTGCCAGAGCTTCAAAACAAGTAAGAATAATTAATTAGTAAATAAATCAATTAGCTGTAGAATTAAGGACAGCAAATCAAGGTTCATATGCTTTCCAATATTTTTTTATTTTTTGTAAAATTTGTTTTTCCTGTTTTTTTATTTTTTGCAACGATCTGGAAATTCTAGTTGGAGAGGGAGACTCATAGAATAACCCATGTCACGAATTACAGCAGTTTAAATAAATAATATAAAAAGAACAAAGTGCAAATGCTTCTCAACATTTTGTTGCTTTTGGGAAAATTTGTTTTTGCAATATTTCTTCATTTTTTGTAACAATTTGCCAGTTCTAATTGTAGAGCGTACTTCATAGAATCGTTAATGGTTTGCATGAATTTTTTACATTGAATATAATGATGAAATACGAAAATTCAAAATGCTTTCCAACATTTTCTTGTTTTTTGTAAAATTTGGTTTTCCAATGTTTTTTTTTTAATTTTTTGTAACAATTTGGAAACTCTAGTTACAGCAATTCATAAAATAACCAATATTACGGATTCCAGCAGTTGCAATAAATAATATAAAAAAATTAAGGTTTAAATGCTTTCCAACATTTAATTTTTTTTTTTTTAATTTGTTTTTACAATATTTTTTCATTTTTTGTAACAATTTGACAATTCTGATTGTAGAACGTACTTCATAGAATCGTTATTGGTGTGGATGAATTTTTTAAATTGAATATAATGATGAAATACGAAAATTCAAAATGCTTTCCATTTTTTTGTTGTTTGTAACATTTTGGTAATTCTAGTTATAGATAGTGATTCATAAAATAATTGGGGTTCTGCCTGATTTTTGTTTCATTGAATACAATGCGAAAATCTCAAAATTCGATGGAAAACATTAGATATGATTGAAAGTTTGAACAACTTCTATGATTTATTCACAAAGAGCGAATGTTCAGAAAATGAATTAATATAAATAAATTAAAATTCGATAGTTTACATTTTTTCACAAATTGTTCTTGATCAAATTCACTATAAAAATGCAACGATTATTGATTTTGGTCATTTGACTATCCGTTTATTCCGAAGATTAACTGAAATAGGAGCAGAAGTTGGACACAGAATGACAGATCTCCTCATAATGCGAGAGAAGGGCGGAAAGCGAGAGATAAAACTCCTGAATGTCCTCTTGTTCATAAAAAGCACACTATGGAAATCGCTATTCGGTCGTGAGGCCGACAAGCTGGAGCATGCCAATGACGATGAGAGAACTTACTACATAATCGAGAAGGAGTCATTGGTCAACAAATTCGTTTCTGTGCCTAAGGACAAGGGCAGTCTCAACTGTGCTTCATTCGTTGCTGGAATCGTCGAGGCCGTTCTATGCGACTCTGGCTTTGTAAGAATTTTCTGTCATTTCTCTATTGTTTCCATTGAACATTTTTCAAAAACTCCTGGTCAAGTATACGATCACCACAAAGCAAATAAAAACTAATATTACGAAAAAAAATTTCCAATGAAATTTATGTTACGAATGCTGTGTGCATTCTTTATCAGGGAAATTATTCTAATAAATTTAGGTAATTATTTAGATGAATTAAATTAATACTGGAAATAGTTGCAATTTAATTTAGTTAAATTCATAATTTTTTACATTTGGGGGTCATTTTTTTTCTTTTCTTTTTGTGTCAACAGATGCATTCGTAATGAAGAAAATTTTAATTGGAATTTTTTTTTCGGAGTTTTAGACTTGCCTTGCTTTGTGATGATCGCATAGTTAACTAGAAGGAGATTTATATTAATTTTCACAATTCACGAATTCATAATTTCAAGGATGTTTATTAGTTTTTTTTTTAAATTTGTTTTTCTATTTTTTCATTTTTTGTAACAATTTGGTAATTATAGTTATAGAGTAATTCATAAAATAATTTAGGTTTTGCCTGATTTTTTTTCCATTGAATATAATGAAAAAATACGAAAATTCAATGGATAATATTAGATACGTATTTTTTGTTTCGAAGTACAAATTTTGCCCTATTTATCGAAATAAAAAATACGTATCTGGTATTTTTCACCCAGAAATTCAAGAATGTTTATTCGTTTTTCAATCAGTTGGCCTGATGGGAGGGCACACGAAACTACCTTTTGTGGAGGTTAAGAAACATTAATTGCCTCGGAAATTAATAATGTTAGATGCAATGCAAGGAACTCCAAGGATAAAAATAGAAATAGAGGACAATGGTTAAAAAATATTCCAAATAACAAATATTTGATGGATATTGTTTATATAATTTCTGACTGATCAACTTGAGGTGGTGAATTAAAATTTTTATGAACATGAAGGTATAGAGTAATTAAAATTCTCGCTAGTGCGAAGATTAATCTGTCCATCAATTGTAAAAAATTCAAAATTAATTTATGCTTGTAATTTCGGATAAACATCCTTATGAGTCTATGCAATAATTTTCTCTATTCTTCCCTTTTATGAATTTCTAGCCAGCGAAGGTAACTGCACACTGGCACAAAGGCACAACATACATGGTGAAGCTAGATGATTCAGTAATAGCTAGAGATAAGCAGCTCGATGATCGATGATACTAATCATTAAAATTAATTAATGTCCCGAAGATAATAAAATTGTACAAAATTTTGATCTGTCTTCAATGTAACTCCCATCAATCCTGTATTTTTAGTGCAGTTTTTTCTTAAATAGGAAGGGGAGGGGATAATTGATTGCAAAATATCGTGAACTAATCTTTCATGACATGAAGAAAGAAACTGATGACTTTTTCAGATTCAATTTTTTGAAGAATCAGTGTAATGCAGATGACTTAGGTACATTCAACGTTTATTCCCCAATATTTGATATTAACATTAGCTCTACAGTGGATTGATTATACGCGTTCAACAGAATTTATCGTTTCTGTCGTAGTAACTGACGTGGCCGGTGCGACGCAGACGCTCTGTTCTCTTCTGTGAAAGAGGAGAATGAAAAAAATTAGTTGAGAACTAGAACTAGAGAATCGTGAAAGCACTGATGAAATTATAAAGAAGAATCGGACAAGTTTGTTTAGATTGTTGAATTGTCTCGACCAAGGAGAACGTTAGAGATAAATAACGAATAAAAATAAATAAAATATTCATTCCTGAAATACTGTTAAAGATTTTCCACTGAAATTTGAAGGAATTTTCTCAATAAAAATTCACAATTTCATGGAAAATCCGTGGGAACTGTAGATTTCAGGTGAATTATACCGGGAAATCAATGAAAAATCATGAAAATAAAGAGAAAAGGCAACTTAAATTTTAGACTCCTCAGAATTTTCAGGGAATCCTTTAAAAAAATCCTGAAAATCCAGAAATTCAAGGGAATTTGGGAGTAAATATTTATTGGCGAATTTCCGATTTCCTGCTGCTAAAAAAATGGAACAGGAATTTTCAGAGAAATATGTAATTCCACTGACTTTTTGCCTTAAATTGAATTCAAGATTTGTTTCTGGAAAATTCATCAAATTTTTTAAACACTAGTTGTTTAGCATTTCTACTGAAGAGTTGGACGGAAAGATTTACTCACTTTATCAGCTCCTATGAAGATTATTCCAATGATCATGGGCAGAACTGTGCATGCGAAGTGGAAAGCAGCGTTCCCCCAAGTTGGTTTGAATCTCTCGTATATTGTGGCACGATGTGCTTGGAAGCGCAAGATAGCAGGGTCTTCCTACCGTGACAACCAAAAGGAATTCGTTATTCGATACATTTTATCAATTGGAATGTTAAGAGATCGAGTTCCAACATTTAAATCTAGCGAGTATGAAATATTGTCTAGAAAATTCGAAAGTTTTCTACTAAATTTTTTCGTGCGTGACATCCCGTTGTCTCCAATGATTCTAACTGAATTCAACTATACAACTTATTCAATTGAGATATTTTCTATAGAATTTCCTCGACTCAAATTTTCCAAGTTTTTATGTCTAATTTTCTTGATGAAAAGAAACTAAAAATTAAATGAAAAGAACCGAAAATTTGAGCCAAAGAAATTCCCTAGAAAATATCTCAATAGAATGAGTTGCATAGAAAAATCAAATTCTATAGACTTTTATACAGGATATTTCCTATAAAATTTCAATAGAATCGGCCAAAAACTAATAGACAGTTCAATACAAATCCAATAGAATTCTAGTGACTTCGCAAAGTTTTTCTATTCAATTTTTTCGTGCGTGATATCCCATTAACTTGAATGAATCCAACTATACAACTTATTCTATTGAGATATTTTCTATAAAATTTCCGCAGCTCAAATGATCTAACGTGTTTTGTATAATTTTCTGGATGAAAGGAAACACAGAATGGAAAAAATTAGAAAATTTCTCAATAGAATAAGTTGCATAGAAAAAACGAATTACATTGACTTTTTCTATAGAATATTTTCTCTTCAACATTTCAATAGAATCGGCCAAAAACTAATAGACAGTTCAATAGAAATCCAATAGAATTGTCTAGCGACTTCGCTAAGTGTTTCAATCAACTGTTTTCGTGTGATATTCCATTGACAATTAAAACATCAACAATAATGGCCCTAACATTGTTACATAACTCCATTCGAGCAATGATTCCCCTAGGAAATAAATTCAAATTGATGAATATGAATTGAAAAAACGATAGAGACGATTTTCACGCCAGCAACTGGAGAGGATATTCATTGCAAATATTCGGAGGAATCTAGAGGAAGTAAACGATAAGAAGAAACATTGAGGTTAACTCCATGTTTGATACTCACGACTGTGCCTCCAACTCCAAGTGCATGTCTAAAGGGATTCAATCTCTGCTTCAGATAGTCATGACGAAGGGCAGTAGCTCTTTTCTGCTTTTCCTCGAGGATTTTCCTCTGAACCGGAGAAATATCGAACACTTCACGACCCGACATTTTCACTGGCTCAGCTGATGGAGATCCGAATGCTCCAATATTTTGAAAAGCTCTCGGCGATTGTGGAATGGTTGAGAACCATTTAGGGGTGCAGTCAGTCGATAGAGAAGGTTTCCGTGGGCACTTGCTCTCATGTTAAGAAGATTGCTGAATTGTTATATTACCCATTGCAGATCACCTCGACAATTGGGCACATAATAAATTTTATAAACAAATGTAGCGGATTCGACAAAAAATTGTATTGGATTTCTATCGATAGCAGATCGCACATCTGTTATAAAATGTTAGAAATCTGTTAACAGGGTTTGATAATTGCTGATGTCCTCTGAAAAAGTCTTACCAATCGAATTTTCTGGTGCAGCGACACGTTGAGAGATAGCGAGATTATTATCATTTCAAGCGGCATTACAAACTGAATCGAACTGGAGCAATAGGTTGTCAGCCGGACACTATTATTCATAAACAAATGACGATGGTAAATCACTTGTAATTCGTTAGCAGATGAATGTAATGCATTTATCAGTGTTGAAGGATTACTCAATTGATTAGTAAATTAAAAAAACTAACGACGTGGTAATTAAGAATCAATATTCACTAGGTGAAGAAATTCGATTTTGGCGAACGTCGACTTTCCCCCCGAAAAAATCCGAGATCCGACACTTTAGCCCCGGGTGAAGAAAAATTTTTTTATTTCGACATTTCGGGCGCCTTTAAGGGTTTCATTGGCATTAGAGGGGCCAATAAACACAGAATCAGCAATCACTTGCCGAAAATATTCGATTTTGGCGAAAGTCGACTTTCTTCCGGGAAAAATCGAAAATCTGGCCCTTTGGCTCCGGGTGAAAATTTTTTTTTCAGTTTTCACTTTTTCCACACGCTTTTGAGAGTTTTGAATAGCCCGTCGCTTAAATAGTTGGAATCAACGTTCACCCGGCTAAAAAATTCGATATTGGCGAAAGTCGACTTTCCTCCGCGAAAAATCCAAGATCTGACACTTTGGTCCCAGGTGAAAAAAAAAATTTTTTATTTCGACATTTCTGGTCCCTCCGAGGGTTTCATTATCATCAGAATCGTCAGAAGGCGAAAAAATTCTTCTGCCTTCCTCAGCCCCCTCTCGATTCTTCCCATCCTGTCACTAGCTTTTCTTGTAGGCCCTTCAGAGGGAAAAATCATTTTTCACTCCTGATTTTTTCCGAGTTTTCACGTCAAAATTCCCGAAAGAGCATTTCGCATCACTTTAACGTTAATTGTGTCACGTAATGTTTTCAGGATTTTTTTCTCCACGTTTAAAAATTATTCATTTGACGGGAATAAAAGTGCGAATGGAACTCAAGTGTGAGCATTTAATCACACTATTCTCCGGGTGCACGCGGTCATTACCGATTACTCCACTCATTTCAATACCCATTCATTATCTCCATAAAAGGATAATTTTTTTCGTTAATCTCTCCATTTTTTGTTCGATGATTAATTATGCTTGAAAGGATTTTCAGGGCTTTCAGAACGTGCACGCACGTGGGTAGACCGAAAGTGCTCTTTAATCATTGTTGCGGTGTGTAGTCTGAAAGGTCTTTCCATCGCCCCGACGAACACTATTTTCCCCAATATTGACTCTTCTGCGAACTATGGAGAGCTCACAGGATTGGACAAACAATGACATGTGCAGAAATTTAGTCAAAAAATGGTAGAAATCATGGATTTCTCTTTTGAAGAGTTGCAAACAAGATCGACGTTTACATACCAACGAGATGTGGTTTACTTTGCTGTACAATTTTTCGCCGTTGAAAAAGTCGACTATTTATCCATAAGCACAGCGTAAAAAAAATTTATGCAAAAACATGTCGAATTCGCCTCTGGAATTGAAAAATTCTGCAGCTTCTACGCGTCTTTTTTTCAATAATTCTAGAAAATATTCTATAGGAAAAATCAATAGATCTCGCTAATTTTATACAACTATACTGAAACATTTTGTATAGAAATTCCTCAACTCAAATTTTCTCAGTTTTTTGTTTGATATTTTAATTGAAAACACAAGAAAAATAGAAGGGAAAAAAGAAAATTCGTCAATGAATTCCTGTAGAAAACGTTTCAATGAAAAAAGTTCTATGGAAAGATAAAATTCACCTAATGTTGTCTATAAAATAGTCTCTCATGAGCATTTTCCATGAAAATAAAAACGCCCAGTGAAGCAGCGGAATTCTTCAATATAATCGACCAAAAAATACCGTCAAAGCTTTGTATAAGATACCTCAAGAACAGTAGGAGAGCGGGATTCCGGGAATCCGTACACCCCCACTACGCGCGCTTGTAGAGAGGAGAAAAATAAGGATCAGCGGTTTGAAATAAGATACCTCGCTCGTGGCGCCCGAATTCTATGGAATATTCATCTTTGCTGAATGGATATTGATAACTAATCAATTTATACGAGTTTAATGTTTTGAATTCGTATAGTCCGCGTTCCCTTTTGTCTCTGAACATAACCCCGCGTGATAGAATGGCAGCAGATGTTGGGGGATTGTTGGGGGACTTGAGAATAATCACTTCTGGACAGCGGAAGTACCAATTATTGAAAGTACATAAATTAATTGAATTTTAATTAGGCTTTATTCTATTGAGATAATTCTGCGTCATCATGTTAATAATTACAGCGTCGAAGAAAAGAGGTGACCCTTGGGATCGTTTAACCCTTCTGATTACTTCACTTGACTCTCACGTTTGAACTCTTGACCCTTAAGGTCATTTGACCCTTATGATCACTTCGTTCGTCCCTCCCGTTTGACCCTTAACTCCGTTTGACCCTTGTAATCACTCTTTTCCCGTTGGAAAATGATCGAGGCCATAGGTATCTTATAAGAACCCCACGGAACTGAACATTCGGGAGGCGATAAACGTGCCGAGAGTGGGGGGTAGGCCTCGAGCGCTCGGAGCTCGAGGTATCTCATAGAGAGGTATCTTATGTAAAGCCTCGACTGTAATAAAATTTCCAATAAAAGTGGAATGGAAATCCATACGTCCCGAAATAAAGACGAGAAATTGTAGAAATCAATCAGTTCTCTTTGAATGAGTTCTAAACAAACTCAATGTTTACGCACCCCGAGATGTGGTTTACTTTTCTATACATTTTCTGTGATCGAAAAACCCGAATATTTATTCATAAGCGTTGACCGGAACGTGAAGTGGTATTCCGGAATAGCATGCACGATGAAATAATATTGAATTTTGGGATACGTCTCGGGGATTGACATCTGATAGGCACATTCTGTGGATGCGCATATATTCATTCATCGCGATGATCAAAGGGAATTACGAAAAATTTTCATTCGGTCCTCGAGTTCTTCCGCTTTTAATTAAATTAATGATCAAATTTTGCTGGGATTTGGGAAATGAAAGGGTTTATCCATTGGCTCATTATTGGAGGTGTAATGAGATTATCATTTTCTCCATTTTTGATGAGTGGAATTTTAATTAGTACTGAGCGAATTATTAAGTAACCTTCAAGAATTGATGGCTTCATTCTCATTTTCCGTCTTTCCGTGCATTTGGATATCTGACACTGCCTCAGATGTACTCTCATCAGGAGAGCTCCCATAAATATGGATAGCGAGCGCTTGGAATAATGATGAGAAAGGAAATTCGGTTACAGAGGATCCGGTTCCATTGGGTTTATTTTCTCCGATGTGGATCTGATGGTTTTTTTTGTTCAGTTTGAATACGGAAAGTGGAGATTATTCAAATCCGCGGGAAGAATCCCTATCTATTTTTCGCAGGAGTCCCGGTGTTGGTAAATGCCGTTCAACATCGGTTTCTCATTTTATGTGATTATTTTCGCGGATGGTGTACTTTGAGGATATCCAAGTACTTTGGCTATTTTTTTCTCCAGTGAAATGATTTTCTACTTTTGTAGTCGAATAGAGCTTTCATTTGAGCCCCATTTGACCCTAAGATTCCAATGACATTTTGCAATGATTTTATTGTTTACATTTTAAAAATCTGAAAAAAATAGAAAGTTTACTTTTGAAGGAAAATTGATGAAATGATTTGAAAATTTCATTTTTTTAGACTTATGAGTATTTTTCAAATAATTTATAAACAATTTATTTTCCACCAAAAAAAATGAGTTGTTCGGAATTGTAACAAATACATTCATATTTCAAATTTTACCAAAAATTGATTTCATGCCTAAAAAATAAGGTTTCCAAAAGTTTAAACAATTTCAATTTTTTACTTATAAACAACGAATGTTTAAAAAAATCATAATTCTGTGCAAAATGAAATTTTAATGACGCTGAATAATCATGATTGTTTAAAAAATGAGTTTTCCGAAAGTTTAAACAATTTGAATTATTTATTTATAAACAACGAATATTTGAAAACATCGCAATTCTGTGCAAAATATAAGTTTACTGACGCTGAATAATTACGATTTTTTTCAAATTCACTTTTTCCAATTCTGCATTCAATTAATCCAGCCAAAATAAGTTCTTTGTACCAATTTATGATTCGCAGTCACAGAATTTCATACGCGTCTATTTTATCAATTGAACCGTATTCAGTTTTATCACATTATATCCTATGAAATTATAAATTCTGCTTCATCGAATAGTATCCTCTTTTATCCTCATCATACTCACCCAACTATGCTTTCTCTAATGTATCATTCCTCCATGAATGCAAGACATCAAATTTTATGGATTTCTACCCAATTGGGAGAGTTTTCATGGGATCAAAGAAGATGTATTTTGAATTACAAAGACAAAAATTTATTACTACCCCTTGACTTCAGCTGCGAGTGGCTCGTTCGACTTCGAGAACTATTCTCATAACTTACCGAAACTTTTATATGTACACAAAGTGGGAAGAACACTTAAAACTGGCCATCGGGGGGAAATTGAATTCTCGATCCTGCCTATGAAATTGATATCGCACAACAATTCCACAGGTTTAATGAGAGATGATTGGAATTCCGCAATATCAGTTTTCGCTTGAAGTTTCACTCAATCCATCCAATATAAAAGGGCTGGAATTACAGGCATTTTCAATTGAATGAACAATGTTTTTCTAGT